CGCTGCAGCTCAACGGTGGGCAGTACTGGGCCGTGACCAGCCCCGAGCGGACACCCCTCAGCTGCGGCCACCTGTCCCGCGTGCGGGTGGCGCTGGACCTGGAGGTGGGGGCCGTGTCCTTCTACGCTGTGGAGGACATGCGCCACCTCTACACCTTCCGTGTCAACTTCCAGGAGCGTGTGTTCCCCCTGTTCTCCATCTGCTCCACAGGCACCTACCTGCGCATCTGGCCTTGAGAGACCCTGCCCGGCCCCCCAGAGGGAGCGGGCCCGTCCAGGGTGCAGCCTTCTCCTGGCCGCCCCTGGGAAGGGACGGAAGCTCCGCTGGGCTTCCTGCTCACTTCACCCTTCCTGGCCCCGGCTGCCTTAGACAGGCTTCAGGAGACCAAGCAGCAGAGGCAGGAAGGCCTTGGCCCCCGGGGCCTGTCCCCTTCCTGGCATGTGGCTTTGGTACCAGCTGCTCGGAGGGGTGGGGGGTGAGGACAGGAGCCCAGCTGTGGACAGAGCTGCTTCCTGTTCGGGGCTCACTGCTCAGACTCAGCAGCGCCTCTGGCTCCTGGAGCAACACCAAGCCCTGGGCCTGTGTCGGCCTCAGTTGCAAGGGGCATATTTGGGGCCAGGCCGGCCAGGTTCATGGTCACTTCTGTTTTGCCTTCTTGTCCGCTGCCAGCTGCCTTCAGGGACCTGCGTCCAGCTGGCTCACCAAACCGCCTACTCAGGGAGGAGCACTGCTCCCAGCTCAGAGGACAGTCTGGGCCAGAACTGGAGGCAGCGCCTTGACCTGTCCGTGAGGGAAAAGCCCCAGACGACACTATGTAGGCATGGCTACCCTCTGACGCCCAGAATCTGATGATCCTCGGCCACAGTGACGGCCACGTGTTCTCACAGCTGCCTAAACCCCTCTCAAGTGCCAAAGTGCAGTCTCGCTGGGTAAGGAGACAGAAGGTTCTGGAATTCTGAAATACCGGAGAGCACTTACAGTTTTACAGGTGCCGCTAGCACCAGCATGGAAACGCAGAGCAGAAGCGTGCCCCTGGCAGATTCTTTCTGGAACTTGCCGAACGTGTGCCACCAGCAGAGGACCCTGGTGGCTGCCATCACCCGAGCTCATTGCTCCCCAGCCGCTCTAAGGCTGGGCGTCTGGGAGGGTGGTGGGGGGCTGTTCCTTGCGTAGTGCTCCCCAGGAAGGGCTAGAGGTGGAAATACAGACTGTGAGCTCGTTTCTACCGTGGCTTAGCTCGTCCTTGACTTACCCTGCCTGAGTGCCAGAGCGCGCGTGTGAGCAAGGATCTCTGCCAGATGAGGTGCGCGTGTGTGCGGTGTGAGGATGTGCGCGGGTGTTCATATCGGATTGCAGGACAGTGGGTATGAACGCGTGCATAGGGTGTCGGTGTTGAAACCGACCGAGGTCAGTCAGGTCAGACCCTATTGTTGACTTCTGGTTAAATATCATCCACCCGTATGTAGTTGATGGCCACAGGTTCCAACCCCCCAGATCCCCGGCTGGATGGAAGCCAGTTGCTGACCTAGTTCTGCCTCCCCCGGTGGTTCGGGCAGATGCAGGGACGGTGACCGTCAAGTAGCTGGTCTGCAGGCGTCCTGGAGCTCCTGTACTCTGTCCCTTGAGATGCTTCGAGCACACTGTGTTCAGGTCCTTGATAAGACAGGCGTGACCCTGTGGTTTGAGACCCAGTGCTCACAGCAACAGGCAGTCAGAATGCAGTGTCCCACAGGCGGGGACGGGACCGTGGAAGAGTCTAGCCCACAGCAGCATTCCAGAAGGTGAATCCGACGCCCTCTTCGTACACAGAGTGCAGCTCTAGAACACTGTAGCCAACCAGCGTATTTGAGTATCACTGATTTCCACAAGGAAAACCCGTGGCTTTTGAACTGAGTGTCACAATTACCCTTTATGTCGTCTAGCAACTATGCCAAAGTATTGTAACACAGATTGCAGGTCACAGGAGATGGGGTGACTGGTGGAGGCCCTGTAGGGCCAGGCCTGGGGACTGCAGGGGTGGCTGTCTGTGTGTATCCTCAGCTTTTGTGTTCGTGTGTCTATCAGCGTTTATAGGATAACTGCATAGATTTCTATGCATCTGAAGAGATGTTAACAACAGTTACACATAACTGCACGTGGGGGGCGCGAGAGATGTTCTCTCTTGGTCACCAGGGCAGCGGGTGACCGGAAGTCACGGTGCTGGCGTGAGAGTGTGTGTGCATTTTTCTCTTCCATCCTTGGGGCATCCTAAGATCTCAGACTTCTGAGCCTCTGAGAGCAGTGACTGGCCTAACTTGGGCTCTTCTGCCCCAACTCTCAGTCCCAGGTCCTTGCGAGCTCAGAGCTGTGAGGACCCAGGTCCTTGCCACCAGACACAGAGCTCTTCACGGACTGGGGGTCACCTGGGGCCTGCTTTTGGCCTGGCCGTCCAGGGACCTCAGTCATCCGGCCTTGCAGGGCAGAGGGCAGGTTGGACAACCAGGCCAACGTCCACCCTCTACCTGCAGCCGCCACCTTCTGGCTATTGCCCGGTGAGGGCTCCTGTCCCTGACCTGGGCTCTCACCCTCCCCTGCCCTCAACTCCGTGTGCCCTTTTGGGGGCTCTGACCGGACCTGCTCCCCAAGAATCCAAGGGGGTCCTAAGGGTTGTCTCTTCCTAAAGGTGCCCTAGGGGTTCGGGGCCCCGGGCCCTGCCTCAGTCCTCGGTCCACCCCCTTCCTCACACTCAGCCATTCTGATTTCTCCATCACTATCGGCTTCTGACTCCTTCCTGATCCCACCTCCGCCCCTACCCCCACCCCCCACTCCGCTGCTCCCTCACGTGCCCGCCTACCTTACCAGCCCCCCAGGACAGACCTATTGACA